CACACACACACACACACACACACACACACACAAATTAATTAATTAAAAAAAATAAAAAAATAAAGTTTCACCAAAACACTTAACAATTTTTCTGAGTGTTACACATAACTTTATTCCCACCAATTTGGATTCTGAGGGAGGAGAGTTATTTCAAGAGCAACCTGGATTGTCTTTTTATATTGTATTGAACACAGAAACGTACACTATTGTTTTTTTTTTCTTCTTGAGACAGGTTCTCACTTTTCAGGCTGGCCTTGAACTAACTCACTATGTATACCAAGCTGGAACTCAAAGGGATCTTTTTGCTTCCGTCTCCCAAGCGAGTGCTGGTCATGTGCCACCATGCCCAGCTAAATGATATCTATCTATGTATCTATGTATCTGTATCTATCTATCTTTTTGAATTGATCTTTTTTGAGACATTTGTTTTAAAGTGCAGGCTGGCCTTCAATTCACTGTGTAGCCCAGGTTGGCCTCCAACTCACAGCAATCCTCCTGCCTCTGCCTCAGCCTCCTGAGCGCTGGGATCATCGGTGTGCACCGCCATGCCTGGCTTGCTTTTGAATTTAGGATCCTCCTGCTTCAACCTTCCAGAATGCTGGTGTTTAAGGCTTATTTGATTGTGCCCAGCTTAATTTGGAATTCCATTCATAAGATGGCAGAACTGGGGATTGAACTCAGGCCCTTGTGCTTGCCAGGGAAGTGCTTATTCCACTGAGCCATCTCCCCGGCTCCTCCATTTGTAAGATTAGAAGAGATTTATTTATTTTTACTATTATTTTTAGATTTATTTTTTTATTTTTACGTTTGAGTCAGGCTCTCACTATGTAGTACAGGCTGGCCTTGTGTTTACTTTATAGCCTAAGCTGGTCTGGATCTCACATTGATCATCCTGCATCAGCCTCCTGAGTGCGAAGTGCACAAACACTCAACATTTCCAGTTCTTTAGCTTTTTATTTTATTTTATTTTTTTTGCGGAACCGGGGATTGAACTCAGGTCCTTGCGCTTGCCAGACAAGCACTTATTCTACTGAGCTATCTCCCCGGCCCCACTTTTTAATTTTTGAGACAGAATTGTACTAAAGTTGCCCAGGTGAGCTTGAACTTGTGCTCTTTCTACTTGAGCCCAGGAATGCTGAGATTATAGGTGTGTGCTCCTGTACTTATCTTTATGATGTATTTTGAGTCCTAATAGGTTACCTAGGCTGGGTTTGAACTTTTGAATGTACTTGCCAGAGCCTTCCATAGTATTGTGATTACAAGTACACCTCCACATCCACCTTATCTTTTCCTGTCTTCCTTCTGTCCTCTTGTTCCCTAGCACTGGTGATGTACCAGTGCCTCTGCATGCTAGGCAAGCACTCTACAAATGAGCTACACCTCCAGTAATTTTTTTCTCTAAAATTTGACTTATTATGTATATCTATAGATATATATATATATATAGATAGATAGATAGATAGATATGTATATCTATAGATACATATTTGTTTTGGTTTTTGACAGAACTGGGGTTTGAACTCAGGCTTTTGCGCTTGCCAGGGGAGCACTTACTCTACTAAGCCATATCCCCATGCCCTATATAAATTTTTTAAATGTACTTAGTATAGGGTCTTACTACACAGATTGGACTGTAGTGATTCTCCAGTTTTCAGCCTCCCAAAAGGTGGGATTACAGGTGTGTGCCACCATCCCCAGTCTCCGTCTCCCTCTTGGCATATCCCGGGGATGGGGCTGGCACAGTACACTGGGGATCGAACCCTGGTCCCTGTATCTGCCTAAGCAGGCGCTTTAGTCCACTGAGCTATCTGGCCAGCCCTAGAATTTTTTTTTTTTTAGTACATGATAATATTTATTCTGGGGTGCTGGTACATGTATGTAGCATAACTTTCCTTGCCCATTTCCCCTTTTTCTTAAATTTAAAGGCAGGCTCGGGCTGGTGAGATGGCTCAGTGGTCTAAAGCACCTTCTTAGAACAAGCTTAGCAAAGTTCAGGGACCACGGTTCAATCCCCCAGCACCACATGCCAGCCAGCCCCGCCCCCTGGTGGGCTGAGCTGCCCCCCCCACACAAATAAATAAATAAAAAATAAAAATAGGGCTGGAGAGATGGCTCAGTGGTCTAAAGCATCCACTTAGAACAAGCTTAGCAAAGCATCAGGGACCGCGGTTCAATCCCCCAGCACCACATGCCAGCCAGCCCCGCCCCCTGGTGGGCTGAGCTGGCCACA